TTGTTTATGTAATTGGCTACTAAGTCCGGACAAATGGCCGGGCGCATGACTAGTTTAGGGTATGCATCTTCTTTTTGGATGAAATTCATTTTTTCTTCCAATTAGGTTTCTCAAAGTGTTGTGCCCATTTCTATGGTTTGGGATTGTGACATCTTGAACAGAAGCTTAGATGAATCTGGAACAACTACTTACATAAGAATTGCTTTGGTGGTCACTCTATCCCTGGCACCATTTCAATGTTGGAAGGATAGTAGCTAGCTTATTCAACTGTAACTTCTTTTAATCATTTGTTCTTCCACTACAAAAAATTGCCGCTATCCCGACGGTTTCTTAGCAGAGGTTCACCTAACCCTTGCTATTAATTCCTAAACTTGCGATACCAACGGTCAGTTTCTGCGGTTGGATAACCCCTGCTAGGCTGCTACCTTTAAAACAAAATTATGCAACATCCTACTAAAATATTTCCCACCATTCCTCTCTTATATTAGCAAACCAATTTCTTCAAATAAAAAACAAAGAAAAGGAAGGGGAAAATGAATTAAAAAGTAAAGCTCTGGCTCGGTCGTTCGCTGGTCCGAAGCTCCGGATCGCGGAGAAATCATAGGACAACGTGATCGTTGCTAGCTTAATTAGCGGGTCGAAATGCCTCACCAATGGAGGATAGAAGCCGATGAGGATAGGGATCGTTTGAGGAGATGAACTCTTGACACGATTCGGCAGATCTAGGGTTTGGAGAGCTCAGTAGAGGTTGATGAAGACATTGGAGATAAACCAGTCGACGATGCCTGAGGCGATGGTAGGGAGGCTTTCATTCGGAGGTATCGATCATTAGGCTTATCCCAGTGATGGCGACTGATCGGAGAGCGCTGGCGTTGGTGTCTAAGAGGCGGACATTCTTAATTTTGCTGGATCCATCTCGTCGGTATTGACAGCACCAACATCATCGCCATTTCAATCACCTCTCCTCCTACGCTTTGCAAAACCCTAGTTTCATCGAATTGAGTCTCCTACCTTTCCTCTTCTTATGGAGTTTTGCTGTTACAGAGCGATTATTACAGGAGCTATTGTGACTGCGTGCTATGGGGAGAGCAGAAGGTGATTATTGAATGTCCAATCAACAAGGAACATGTGTACTTGCCATTCATCTGAAGGCTTTGCAAGTTTCTTACCTTCCTATGGTAGTTCTCCTGCAGCAAGAGCTTGATCTTCGCTCCTCTATCTAGAAACAGGTAGGCCTCCTGTTTATTGTTCAAATGTGCTAAGTTAGGGTTGTCTACTTCATTGGTTATCTTTTGGCTCGTTGGAAGTATGTGTGGAGAGCAACATTTTATGCCTTAGCGACGAGTTCACTTCATTCTACTACATCTTATCCTCTGATGTGGCTTCCTTGCATGAACCCATCCAAATGGGTGGGGGTAGATGAACAAAGTATCTTTTTTGGATTGGATGCATTGATATGTTTGCTTCATAATTCTCACCCAATAGTTGATGATTTAAATGATCTATTTACTTCCTCTATTTAGCCCATAATTGAAGTTAGAGGCTCCCTTATTTAGTTACCTTCCTTCTGACAATGCACCATGAGAATGCTCTGAAGTTTATAATTAGTCTGAATTTATTTGTTTTATTTCAGGTGCAAAATCATATTTGAAGGTGAATGGGAAAAGAACCTGTGTTAGGCTGACCTTGCAGAAGTTGAAGCATCTCCCCTGATGGCATAGATACATTCAAGTCTATAGGTAAGAAACATACACTTGTTGTTTTAGTTCCCTTTATTTGGAGTTCTTCGCATGAGATTCTTCAATCCTTTGCTGAGTTAGTTGTTCAAATGTTTTATTGTTAAGAGTAATGAAGAATGAAAGCAATGGAAGTTCTGCTTAGCTGTGATTTTAATATTGCACTTTGTTCTGGTTAGTATACTCTGCATCTCCAAGCCTCACTTATTACTTATAGTATGAAATGCTTATAGCTCACTGTGTTTCTTCTTTTCTAGGCTGCCTCTCAAGTCTGAAGCTAAAAATATGTTCGAGATGATGATGATTTATCTTATAAGATGCTCCTCCAAATCACAACAGTTTGTGACTTATGTCCCTATCTATGACACTCTTGGTAATGGAAGTGTAATTATGTATTTGATTTTTTGCAAATTCATTCCTTTTACAATCTCTTTCATTATCGGGTTAAATTCGAACCATGATTTGTATGTCTTATGTGACATTGAGATTCCGACTCCTATTGTCTATGGTAGGGTGATATAATTTATTCTTTTGATAAACCAGATTGAAATTGAAGTACATCAACTGAGATTTCAGTTACCATTTCGATGTAGGCCAAAAAGAATTGAGCTTCACTTTGCAACACAGCAGGCTCGTTTGCCATTTGTATGGGATACACAGTTTTGGATGGTGAAATGTAGGTATGCTTTATGCCCTTTGTTGTCCTCTTTGACGATTTTATTTGGTTTCATGTTCTGTCTTTTGAATGTTATACACAAGGACTTTTATACATCAACTAACAAACTTGAGCTCAAATGTTTTAGATGGGCAGGACTGAGAGAATAGTTTTCCTCCTACCGAAGTGCATTGATCAAAATGTAAGTAATGAAACAAAATTGGTAATGCTGATTCTTGTGCTTCTTACTCATTTTTTTTAGTTGACCTATCCGCTCATCAGTCTCCTCTGCCTTTTATGTATGGTTCAATTTGTTCTGATGCTAGTTTCGAAAATTTGTATGGAAATAATTGGTAAAAGTTATTTGATTATAGTCTGCCATAATTGGTAACAGTTATTTGATTCTCCCCCAATATTTGTGTTTTGGATATCGAAGCACTCATCATACTGACATCAGCTAAACTGTTTTGGCCGGTTAACTGATAAGTTACTTCCTGAGAGGCTCTTCCACTTGTGAACCAGCATATATTGAATTTGTCTAGGTAATTCACGGAAACCCACTTTCCTACTCTTGCTATTTTTATTTTTGTTATAGTGTCTGAGTTCGAGATTGCAATTACTCATTATTGAGTGCTTTCGCGGTTTAAACATATGTCGGTTTTACATGTTTTGGTTGGTAGGTACCAGAACCATTGGTATGATTAGTAAAATCAATCAAGCTGCTTCTGACCAGAAAGTCCTTGCAACTGTTCAGGCTCTTATAGCTGATTCTTTCCGCAGAAAAATAAGACTATTCATAAAAAACATATACTTGAGAGCATTCTTTAATGTACTCAAAAGCTCCACAAAGTATTGGAACCAATTCAATTTCTAGTTGCAGTTTGATGTACTAGATAATACTTTAAGCTTTAAGTTGTCTCATTTTGATGCTCCTAATGTATTGCAGGGAAAGGAGGGTGTGATTATAAATTTCATAAAGAGCTCCAGGTATCAGGCAATGAAGCGCTTAGAGCTTCTCTCCAGAGTAGTACTTGTAAAAGAGGGAAGATATCTCATGGGTATTTTCCTTTGGCTTTGAAAAGTAGATCATTAGGTTCTTTTTACTGCTACTATGTTTCTTTGGATGATGCTTAGATATTTATGGTAATTAACATTTAGCCATGTAAACAATATTATATTGAATCATGGTATGAATGATGGAATATATATGCAAAAATGGGCCAGCAACAAGTTTGGTTATGGGTTTTCCTAATAGTAACCAGAGTATTTGTAACCAGCGTATAGAAACCATATTAGGGTGCCCATTAGCGACAGTTTTGAATTCTTAAAAATTTATTTTTAGTGACCATACTGAGTTGGTTGCAAATCTAATTAGTCACGAATTAAGCAAGGGTTTTAACCCTTGCTAGTTTTAGCAACAAATTTTCCAAGGGTTCAAATCCTTGCTACCTACATATTTCTATCGAATTTTACATTTCAGTGTAGCAAGGGTTGTAACCCTTGGTATATGTAGCAGGAGTTAAAACCCCTGCTACAACCCTTGGAGGGTACTTCCACCGTGGGTTGCTAAAAACCCTTGCTACGTGTAGCAGGGGCAGCATTGGGGAGGGTTCGTCCAGGGGTTGGAAAAACCCTTGCTACAAGTTGTAGCAGGGGTTATAACCCTTGCTATAGGTAAAAAAAACCCTTGCCATAGATCTCTTTTTTTGTAGTGTTCTTCCTTTTATGTTTAATGTATATTTAGGCTGTAACTTTGTCTATTCTTGTTCTTTCTTTCTTTTTGAACGGAGTTAGGTTGGATCACTGCTGATCCTCCTTCAATACCCTTTTGTTACTATCTTTTTCCCTTATGCTAATCCTTTATAACAAGAAGCTAGTGTTATTGGTAGTGAGGAAAGAAAGTAGTTTGGTTCTAGCTTTCATAAGTTCGCAATCATTCTGTGTGATTGTTTATTCTATGCAAGCCCCATCTCTAATTAGTGTAATAATTAGATGAAACTTTGTATTTCCAGCTTTCCAATCTCTGAACCATTGTATTTGCAGCTGGGCTGTCTGCCTTTCGTTTCCTGGGCGCTGAAATGTCTTTGGCCCTTTTGTTCTTTTTTCCACTCTCCTTTCTGCTTCTTGTTTCTCATGGCCTTTGTTCTTTGTGAGAAAGTGCTCAACTATTTATTTAAGGAATCCTCTCTGCAAGGTACCAACAACTAGCAATATAAAACTTGTTTATGATATATTCAAGCAAAATCTAGTCACTCATTTGTTTTTTTTTTTATAGATAGTCACTCATTTGTTTAATAATGTATTTTCATGTTTTTTTTCATTGCAATATGATGATCGGTGAGTTTGTTTTAAATTAGTGTAATAACCAATTATAAAAAAAAACTCGATGGTTTGGACCGAACAACCCGCAACCCGACCTGTTGTAACCCGCAATCCGATCAACCCAAACCCGATTGATCCGCAACCCGATCAACCTGTAACCCGATTGATCCGCAACCCGATCAACCCGAACCCGATTTGCCCACAACCTGATCAACCCACAACTTGATCAACCCGATTAATCCGTGACCCGACTGAACCCGATCCGAACCCACCCGATTGACACCTATAGTCAGAAGTGATAAACTGACAAGTTCTCATGGGAGAGAGAGTGCTAATAAAGAAGTTTAAGACACAAACATTGAATTGGAAGATAAACAAACATAAAAAAAACAATCAGTATACTACATATGGTACAATTTCAGGTTACATCACAAGGTTATCTCATCTTTACTGTGGCCAGTCTATGACTACACCCTGCAGACTGTTGAGACCAGAAAGGTCAGTCAACTTCCAGCATTCTCGGATGTTCACCACTGTCAGGTTCTTTAGACCAGACAAATCCGGCAGTCTCTCCAGCGACGTGCATCCAGGAATGACTAGCTGCTCCAATGATTCCAAATCCTGAAGGCCCTGAATCTCACACAGTCGGTGCATATCTGCAGCTACCAACATCACTAATTTCCTCAGCTTGGACAGACAAGGTAATGTACCCACTGACGGCAAGTCAAAAAGCTCCAATACCCTTAAATCCTCCAGATATTCCAGACCCTCCAAGTTAGCTATACCCTTCATATCCCAAACGTTCAACTTCCTCAAATTTGGAAACTGTGACAGATTAGGCAGCCCTTGCAGCAATGTGCATGCACCAACATTAAGTTCTGTTAAAGAGTCGTGTCGTACTTGGCCTCCATCTTCCTCAGGACCTCGAAATAATATCTCGGTGAGAAGAGGGCAATGCAGGATCTCAACCTTACTCAGCCTGTTCAGAGAAGCTAGATTGATGATGGGGAGTCTCTCCAATGCATACAGAGATTCAAAGTGCAAGTCGGTCAAAGAGACGAGGTCTTCGAGGCCGTTGATGTGAATCAAACTCTCACAATAATCTATCTTCAGACTTTGCAATGACTTCAGGGTTCCTCCGAGGCCTTCAATCTCCCGAAGCTTGGAACATCTGTAGAGGATGAGTTCAGCCAAATTTTCCAGATTGTCCAACTTTGGCAGCCTCTCTAGTTTGGGGCAAACGGAGATATGAAGCTCTGTTAGTGATGGGGGGAGCGAAAGAGGGCCAATGGTCGTAATGTTGGTTCCATACTTCACTACCAAAGACGTCAACTTTGACAGCTTCGACCACTCTTCTCCTGTGCCTGAGATTTCGAGCTTAGAATCTTCACAATACTCAAATGTAAATTGCTCTAAGTTTGTCAGTTCTGGAAGATTAGAGACCGAGACAGAGGTGCTTAGCTCCTTCAAACTTTTCGGAAGTTCCAATGCATTTTCTTCCTTCACTTTAATTGCTCTGAGGATCTTCAGAGATGGCAGGGTCACTATGTCGAAGAGAACTTGTCCCAAGTTCTCGCACTTGCACGAGCTGATATTTAGCTCCCGAAGCCCCTGAAGGATTCCAATACTACCCCCCACTATCTTCCTGATTCTGCAATTCTCAAGATTCAAAACCTTTATGTTCCTCAAATTGCCAAGGTCCAGGTCTTGAGTGGACCCTCTCAATGCATAAAAGTGTAAATGCTCGAGGCTCCCATATGTGGAAAGGTCAGGAAGTTTTGTTATGTAACGACAATATGCAAGGTCCAGAACTTTTAGCTTTGCTGCCATCTGCATAGAAAGTGGCAAGTGATGTCATCAAACACAGCAAAAAAAAAAAAAAAAAAAGACCAATCAAATTCATGAGTCACCTAGCTAACCTTTATATGAGTCCACCCTCCCCAATCATCTGTGATATCGCTCCCACGGAGATCAAGAATGATCAATTTATTCAGGTGAAAATTGGTCAATTGGTCACCTGAATCTGCATGGTATTGCAACTGAAGCCATCTTAAATTATCAAGAAGATCACTGAAGTCTCCAGTAAGCTCCGTAGAATTTCCATCGAAGTATCTCAAATTAGACAAGTTCCTAAAATGCTCATTTGTTAGCTGACATGTCTCAGGAGATGAAGAATTTACTCGCAGAGCTTTAACTTTATCTGTTCCCTGTAAAAGCAGGCAAGGTTGAGTTGAATGCCAAAATTACAGTTAGAAGAAGTTCAAAACTGTAAGTTAGGTACCCAGCAACACTGCAAGACGGAGGGTAAGTAAATAGCAGGTCCCAGTACATAATTTAGGGAAGATGTTCTTACAGCAAATGGGTTCTCTATGAAAATTTCCATTTAAGAAACCAACCATACACCTCATTTACGTACATTTATAGTGAACTGTACTGAAAGGTAATATATGAGGGCATAACTAATCTCAAAATGTTGCCAACTAAAGAACATTCATGGTAAGACTTCTGTGTGTTACAGAGAAAAATAGTTTATAAATGCAAATACTAGAATGTGAAGAGTACCTTTTTGCCAAGTAATAGCTCCAAAGCATCCTCATCGGACCATATTCTACTTCTCATCCATGGATGTTCCATATCTTCCTCCCTGATAATTGCTTTACCCAGGTCTCTAAGTTGATCATGCATGCTGAACTCATTATTATCTCTGATCTTGATTATGGATCTTTGGACAAGAACATTAATACTACTGATGGGATAAAACTTACAATCACTCCACATGTAAGAAGCTTTTTCTTTATCAGTTCCAACATAGAAACAGGCAATGTCAAGAAATATCTGTTTTGCCTCATCGTCCAATGTATCATAACTTATCTTTAACCGGTCTAAGACCTCTGTCTCTGGTGTTTCTCTTAACCGCAGCAATGTTTCTTCCCAAACTGCTCTATCTTCTTTAAACAGAAGTGAGCCTACAACCTTAATAGTCAGTGGAAGTCCTCCTGTTGTTGATACAATGTCTCTAGACAAAGCTGCATAATCATGTGGAGCAGAATCCTTTCTAAATGCATGTTTGCAGAAAAGTTCAAAGGAGTGTTCATAGCTCATTTCTCCGACTTCATATAGCCGACATCCTTCGAGTAAAGTCAGAACCTTAATATTTCTAGAAGTAACAATAAACCTACTGCCGGAAACGAAGTTTTCAGAATTTCCCAAGATGCCATCAAATTTGAACTTGTCATCTACATCATCAAGAACAATAAGAACCTTGTAATGGCTAACTCTATCTCTTATCATCCGGATTCCTTCACTAACATTAGATACAGGAGTTGCCTTTTTCGCAATGCCGGAGATTATCTTATTTTGCAGAGCAACGATACCATCCCTCCGTTGCAATGTTTCTCTTACATCTTCCACAAAGTAGTGACGATCAAAGTGAGCACAAACTTTATTGTAGACAGCAGTTGCAACAGTGGTCTTGCCGATACCACCAAGGCCGTGAATGCCAACAGTTGCCACAGCTTTAGAGTTTAAATCTAGTCTTTCAACTACTGCTTTCAAGTGCGCATCAATTCCAACCAATTCATCTGTCATTAATTCATAATTCTCACTTAGATTTGACCATATGTTGTCAAAAACTTCATCAGCTATAGCCCCTTGCCTGAAAAATATGAACTTGATGTAAATGCCATACGAGGGATGTACAAGGAAAAGTATAAGCTGTCAAATAAATTTCCAAACCCTAAAGCTATGGAATCAGAGAGCTCATAACCTTCGTGGAACATGATTACAAGGGGTAAGTGGCAGTCACCTTATAAAATGGTAACCAATACAGGATTGAAAACATATCAAAAGAGAAAACCTAGCTTCAAATCAAGTTTTAAGGTCAATATTGAAAATTCTAAGGTTTACCATTTCACAATTAAGAAAAGAAGGCAAGTATTCAAGTAAGTACCCGTCTTTGTCTGTTACATGCCACCCTTTCAATTCTCCAACATCCTTGAGAGCATCTTTCCAAATTTGCAAGGTTTTGTCATCAAAATTCTTCATGTGTCGCTTAAATGCTTCTTCATAAGCCCCACTCTGTTTCCGCACGTCTCTAGGGTTTACCTTATAGAAAATGGGTAAAATGATGCGCCCCTTGTCTTGCTTGCGGTACTCAACCATTTCAGCAAGCTCTTTGAGGCACCACTTACTTTCAGCATAAGTTTCTGAAAGAATAGGAACATAAATCCTGGATTCCTTCATGGCCTCCACCAAACTAGGCCAGATTCCTTCGTCCACATGAAGATCCTCATCATGTTTAAATGTGCGAATTTTTGAGCGAATAAGAAAATGGTAGAGGACGTCAGTGATCTCATGGCGGGTGTCTGGACCCCTAAAACTTAAAAAGACCTCGTAGTCCCCAGTTGGAAGGGGCAAGGAAGCATCAGAACCAGTAGTTGAAGCAGAAGAATCAACAATGCATGTAGATTCTGATAGCTGGGGGTTATTGTTGGAGGACCTCCTCCTCCTCCGGAATAGCCACTTGCAGATGAGAATCAGTGCGGGAAGCAGCAAAGCCGCCACAGTCGTCAAAGCTTCTCGTAAGTTCATTTCTACAAAATGTGCATTGAAAAACACAAAGATGTCAAAATTTTCATCCGATTCTGCTAAATCAGTCCCATTTACAGATGGGATGCTAGCATAAGAGTTGAAAATGTAAAATAATTGCCCAATTTTAGTGACATTCAGTATGGATTATCCCACAAAGCTATGTACCTGAAGGAAACATTGAAGAATGCAATCACAATGCAAACAAGTAGTCTAATCTTACAGGAGAAATGCGTCTGCTGTTCTCTCGGGTATGATAAGAACAACAGTCTAACTAGAGGAATATATATCAGTCTAGTCTATTGCTTGGATTTCAAGAAATCATCGAATTCCTCCACACAGACACAGGACAAGGAAAAAGAAAGCATCTATCCTTTTTACAGAACACAAAGCAAACTAACAATACAAGGGATAAGTTTTCACACAGAAGAAAGAAATACGTAATACCATATGTGACTCTGAAGTTTCATACTATTACCATCCTCCGGTTAAATGTTCCATAATTCTTTCAGGGATGCTTCACACCACCAGAGGACTCAAAAATCATAAAGTTCGAAGACCAAAAATGGTAAAATGCAAAACACGAGGCAGAGGGGTTAATTGCAGAGCGAAGAAGTTGAGGAACCATAGTGAAGTCATCGGATTCTCAATCCAGACCACTGACCGTCTGAGCTTCAGTGAAGTCTAAGGTTTCAAGAAATTGTAAAATGCAAAACACGAGGCTAGCGGAAGAAAACGTACCACAATATCAAATGGGACAGAGAGAAACAGAGGTAAAATAAAGGCCGACGACTTGGAAGTACGGTTGTAGAGATCCAAATCGGCGGGTGAAAGCTGTACTAGTCGAAGTCTTTCGGGCCGATCACCGGCAATCATGCACCACGCAAATCAAGGGAGGGGAACTACTGCCATTGCATATCCGATTCCGATTCTTTCATTTTGTTTGCATGAGACCGAAGAAAGCCATGTTCTTTCACTTCCCCAGTTCACTGGCTCACTCGAGAAGAACATCAGTGGGACGGTGCTGGGCGCACCAGCATGGATTAGTGATGTGGTGCATTTTGCTGCCAAGAAACGTAATTGATGTTTCAGATGTGTTGCTTAATTGTCTTGAGAGATATGGTCGGCAGGTTGAAGCTGAGTCTTTAAGTCGATTGAATGAGCTTGAAGAGATACGAGAGAGGATTGTTGCTAGGAAAAAAGATGATGGTAAGTTTGTCAGATCGCTAGCAGGGAGCGGAAGAGAAAGCTAACGAGGGAGAATTAGGGCTTGGGCTGTGAACTGAAATTGTGAAATGGGAGAGGAAGAGGATGAGCGAGATTGATTTAACCAATCAGAAATTCAGAACATTACTTGATCCTGGGAACTGAATAGAGGTCTTCTGCCGACTGCCCAAACTCTGCTTCCTTGTCGCCCCCTGTCGTCCTACTCATCGCCGGCTGTCCGTGTCTCGGCCTGTCGTCCTCGTCACCGTCGGTCGTCCTTGTCGCCGGTTGGCCTTCCCTTCGCTGTGGCTCTTCCAACCTCTTCTTCCATCTGCCTAAGCCGCCGTCCTCGTCGCCGAGGCTTCCTTCTCTTGGTGTCAAACCAAACCGACGGTGGTTGTTCTTCCCTCCGTTTTGCTGAAAGTATCGATCAATTATGTTGTTCCAGGCTCGCGGTGCTTGCTTCAGGCCGTATAAAGCCTTCGTAGACGATAGACTTTGTCTTCTTCTCCTTCTTTCTCATAGCCTCGTGGTTGTTCCACATAGACTTCTTCTTCCAGTTCTCCATTCAGAAATGCTGATTTGACATCCAACTAGTATACTTGTAACTCCAGTTGAGTAGCTAGAGCGAGAACTGTTCTGATGGTATCCATCCTCGCTACTAGTGTATATGTCTCGTGAAAATCAATACCAGGCTGTTGTGAATAGTCTTTTGTCACCAGTCGAGCTTTGTACTTGTGGATAGAACCATCTTCATTGAATTTGACCTTATAGATCCATTTGAGACCTATAACCGGCTTGTCTTGCGGTTGATCAACAAGCTCCCATGTCTTGTTTTTCTCGATCATTGAAATTTCTGCATCCATTGCCTCAGTCCAGACTTCTTCTTTGGCTGCTTCTTCAAAGACTTGAGGTTCACAAGAAAAATATGCAACATGACTTGTTTCATAAATTTCTTGTAAAGACCTTGTTTTTAACAGAGGTGAATCCGAGTCTGTTATGATGTCTCTGAAAGAATTTCTTTCTAGACTTGCAACTGGATCTGGGTCGTTGCTGGGGTCTTCTAGAGCTGTTGAGTCCTCCAGAATTTCATAACTTGGTGGAGATTGAGAAATTGGATTTTCCCAATTCCACTCCGCCATCTCATCAATGATCACATCTTGGGAAACCACCACCTCGTGCTTTACTGGGTTGTAAAGACGATAGCCTTTGGATTCATCATTGTAGCTGGTGAAGATCAGCTTCTCTTCCTTCTGGTCAAACTTGTCTTGGTTTGGGATAGAGATATGTGCATAAGCTATGCACCCAAAGACTTTGAGGTGATCCACCTGTGGCCTTCTATGGTGCCACGCATGTATCGGTGTCTTGTTCCGTACTGCTTTTGTTGGTGATCTGTTGAGTATGTAAATTATCGTATTGACTACTTCTGCCCACAAGTTGTTGGGAAGCTTTTTTGCTTTGAGCATGCTTCTCGCCATCTCCACAATCGTGCGGTTTTTCCGTTCTGCCACGCCATTTTGTTGTGGTGTGTGACGGACCGTCAGTTGCCTTTTGATTCCGTTGTTGCGGCAATATTCCATGAACGGAGTATAAATAAATTCTCCTCCACGGTATGTACGGAGAGTTTTGATTTGATGGCCGCTTTCCTTCTCAGCTACTGCTTGGAATTGAAGGAACTTGGGAAAACCTTCTGACTTTTGCTCCTAGAAAAAATACCCACATCATTCTGGTGAAGTCATCTACAAATAGTAGAAAGTATCTTTTGTCGCTGAGTGATTGTGTTCGGGTTGGACGGCATATGTTTGCATGTACCAACTCCAGTAGCGCTTTTACTCTCCAAGATGTCTTTGGAAATGGTAAACGATGCATTTTGCCATAAATGCATCCTTCACAGATCTTGTCTTCTTTGTTGATCTGGGGAAGTCTCACCACCATATTTTTATGCCTCAGCAATTTAAGGCCCTTGAAGTTGAGATGACCGTATCTGAGATGCCATAGGAAGGATTGATCCAGATTTTCACTCTTGAATGCTACTTCACCATTTTGTGACATAGCAAAAGAGAAAATTATGTTGGAAGGCATCGGGACTTTGGCCACCATGAAATTGTCTGCTTTGTTGATAATCTCGCACACGCCATTATCAAACAATAGCTTGTAATTTTTCAGCATCAATTGTCCCACGCTAAGTAGATTGAGAGTTAGCTCCGGAACATACAAAACGTCTCGGATGAGAGTTTTGTTACCTTCTTCTGTACATACAACAACTGTGTCTTTTACTTCCACTTTTAGCTTCTTTCCGTCTTCCAATTTGACTTGAGAGCGGTATTGGTCATCGATGTCGGTGAAGGACTCCAGATCTCCAGTCATGTGGTTACTGCACCACTATCCACCATCTAGGGAAGCTGTGATTTTTGCTCATCATTCAAGCATGACAAGGACACCATATTGCTTTCTTCATTTTTGGTGACGCTTGACTCACCTTCTTCTTGCTTGTTCTGGAACCAGCAATCTCTCTGGGAGTGGTTTTGAATTCTGCACTTGGTGCATTTGAATCTGTAGTCTTTTGTTGCATGGCCCACCTTTTTGCAAATTATGCAACTCGAGCCTGTGTAGCCCGATTTTTGTTGTTGATAATTTTGTTGATTGTTTCCTCTGTAATTGGATCTTCCTCTTTCTTGAGAGTTTCCCCCTCTATGGTCGTGCTCCGATTTGGCATATTTACTTTCCGCCATATTGATTTTTGACGAGAAAGCTTTCTCCAATGACGGTTTAGTGAAACAACTCATTCTTTGCTCGTGTTCTACAAGTGAGCCCATCAACTCGCTCATTGATAAATTTGCCAAATCTTTGGTTTTTTCAATGACAGCAACAATATGCTTGAACTTTGATGATAAGCTCCGGAGAATTCTCTCCACGACCTTCCTCTCTTCCATGACATCACCAGTAGCTTTGATCTGGTTGATTGTCTCCGCAACACGCGAATGGAAGTCTTTGATGGTGTCGGTTTCCTTCATCATCAAGATGTCGAACTGGCGCCATAAACTTTGTCGCCTGATGGAGATCGCCTTTTCAGAACCTTGAAATTGTTCACGCAAGACATCCCAAGCTTCTTTGGCCTTTTTGATGCCATAGATTCTGGGGTAAATTGATTTGCTCACTGCTCGCTGAATGATTCTCAAGGCGCTGGCATTTTGCTTGGCATTCTCCTTGTACTCCTTTGTCTGTTTGCATGCTCTTCTTTTCTGAGTCTTCATCCTTGTCTTTTGGATCTTCATATCCTTCTTGGACGATATCCCTCAGTTCTTGAGAGATTAAAATTGGCTCCATTTGGGCACTCCAGTACTCGTACAACTCTCCATCGAAAATGGGAATTTGATTAGAGGAGGTAGCAAACATGGTGTTTGATGAAGTTGTTGTCATGGCTTTTTGAGAAAGTTTGTGTAGGCTAGAAAATGGGGGATTTTATAGAGGATAAAGGGGTATTAGCTATGCTACCAAATTTGTTGGGTATTAACGGAAGTAGTGATGATTTTGGATCAAAACAAAGGAAACAATTGGTGTGTAATCACTCTTTTTACAATTCACTCAAAACAAATAAGGCCTTATTCATTTGGATATTGCCTTACACGTACATAAGCTTAGCTTCTTTCTTTCTTTCTTTTTGTTTTCTATTCTTTTCTCATACTTCTCTGACAACTTTCCCAATTTCATACTTACAGATATATATAATTGGAATTGAGACAAACTAATAATACATCACATGCATACTTGGCCCTCTACTTCATTCACCCACGTTGCTTCTTTGTGGAAAATGGAAACACCAATTTAATTACATTGGTCCATGCATTCATCTGCATGTCTTCCTTTTCTTTACTGCAGCACCAAGTAGACTTGATATGATTGAGAACAAGATAAGCTCCTCAACCAACTATGCCCCATGTAGTAAAGGGCTTCTTTAATTCATCTCTATCATTCATCACTTATTGATTAATAATATCAAATGAAAATTACCATTCAACAGGTTTGGGGCGGAAAGGAAGGAGAAGGAGGAAGGGGTCAGATGGTTTGGGAAGAAAGGAGGGGTCCATTTATTGGATGTAAATGGGGTTGGGTCAAATATGAGTCAACAGTCTGCAGCTGATGTGGCGGTCCAAATTGGCATGGTTAGTTATATTTCGGCACCTACCGTTAGGCATGGCGACGGAAATGGTAACAATGCTACCGGAATTTGACATAAGTGGTTTAGTTGCAACAAAACGTAATTAGGTGGTCATCATGCAACAAATTGTGAACTTAAGTGGTAGCCTGTGCAATTAACCCCTTTGTTATGTGTTATGTAACTAAAACTATGAGAATTGGGGGAGTTATACCTTTAAGTAAGAATATGATATCACGTGCCACTGAAATCTATTATATGTGCACCCGGTATCACTTAAGTTAGTAAATACTCTGTTTAATACACGTATATGGACCCGTACGAGGTAAAATATCTCGGTTACCACTAAAATATGAGAATTGGGGGATCCATACCACTTAAATATGAATAGGGCGTCGGGTACCACTAATGTCACTGAATTATGCATCCGTCTCAAATTCCGTCCATCTTCCGTAAGAAAGAACAAAATATTATTTTTAGTCAAAATAATTAAAAATAATTTCAAAGATAAGGAAAAAATTATAAAAGTCTCCAAATTTCAATTAGAGGTTGCTCCCTGCCGCCGTCGTTTCATCCCGACGTCGTCTCTTCCTTCGCATCACTTTAATATCGAGCAAAAGCCTCCGCTAGTTCTACAACTGGATTGACGAGACTGAAAGTCTTGGCGCTTGAAATGTAGGGGGACAGGAATGGGATTAGGAAGGAGAAAGGGGAGAAAATGGAAGAGGATGATGATGGGAATGAGGGGGAAGAGGTCGATTTTGAGTCAACGTCGGATCAGGAACTCGACGACGGGTTCTGGGAAGAACTATTGAGCGAGAGCGCAGGCGAGGGCGGAGGGGAAGCATAGGAAACGACAAACCTTGGTCAAGCGGTTAGGCGTTTAGCAAATTATTAGGAATGAATTTTGTTTTTAATAGTTGTGAAATGAAGAGAAAATTGTTAAATATTAATTAATAATATTTTTAACTGTCATGTCATTTATTTAACAGTCAACTATGAGAGTTGACCACCACATCAGCAAAAGTTAACGGATACTAACGGCCAGTGACTACGGATGGAATAAATTAATTTTAGTGACAAATATGAATTTTTATAGTAATTCTAGTGACTAAACTTGCAATTTACCCCATTTTTTTGCTATAAAATTCCGTCCAATGTGGTATCAAGAACACCGATTCAACTTAGGTATCGTTTGCTTGTGGGATTTGGGTGATGGATTTGGCACCTAAATCCCAAGCATCATGGAATTGACTTAAGTTCATTGATTGTTGAGAGACACAAATCTGTGGGGCCCACGGATTTGAAACTTTTTTTAGATCCACATCCTTGGATCCCATGGATTTGCAAATCTCGCATTTCATTTGGGATTTGATAATAGAAGACAAAAATGTGAGACAAATC